ACAAGTGGTATCAGAGCATGTGAAGTCAAACTGGTTATGTCCCAAGAAACTGTCCTAGGGTTTGGGGGTTAGGGCTCACACTATCGGGATCAGAATTCAGGGACGAATTCCCGTTTAGTAGGGGGGGAGGGGGAATTGTAACGACCTGGACCCAACCCATTTGAATAAATTTAAATGGATTGATTTGGCTACCTATGTCACCAAAGTACACTTATCTTTTAGGTTAGTGGGTCTGAGAGAACTCCAGAGTTAAGCGTGCTTGAGCTGGAGCAGGACTAGGATGGGTGACCTTTTGGGAAGTGATTCCCGAAACCGTGTGAGTGAGGCCAAAACATAGGGAAAGATCATGTGGTGGGGTCAGTAAATAAGTCGGTTGGGCTTCAGGAAAAATAACGCACCGGCCGTCGGACAGGAGTGGGGCCCACGGGCCCGAGAGAGGACATGGGTGTGCTCACCGGTAGGGGCGGTCGGGGGTGTTACATTCTACTCAACCATCATATGTGCCCCTAAGTTTTATAATACGATTCCTGGCTCGTCTTTGTTTTATGGTAGCGTGGAAGAACTTTGTAGTTCTATCTCCTTCCCGGAGCCAGATTGCTCTGTTTTTTTGCTTCCAGTATAGTTCTTCTTCTCTAAATACAGAGCATAAGTCCCATTTCAGCGTTAGGATATCATTACTTGTAGTAGTATCATCTTTTTGGGCAGATTCTAGTTGGAGTTTGATGTCTTTAATCTTTTTGGCTGAGCTTGTAGGGTTCGACTTCTGCCAAGTGGAGAGTACTTTCTGGTAATTTTCAATTTTCACAAATATATCTCCTGAGCCAAATGCCTCTGGCACTCCCCACCCTTCGATGTCTCTTTAAGGTCATCTTTTCCCAGTCATCGCTTCTCAAATTTGAAGTTCATTTTTACTCTTCCCAGCTGGGAGCATATCCTTGCTAACACTGGTTGATGACATGACCTCCAAAGTTTAAGATACTCCACATTTGTGTGGAAAATTTTGTTTACTCCACATTTGTGTGGAAAAATTCGTGATGTCTGTCTTCATTGCTGATGGCTCTATCTAGCCTACATCTCACTTTTCCAGATGCTATGTAGCCTAACCAGGATAGGGAGTTACCTTTGCAAGGAAATTCAATCATTCCACAGTTCGCAATCATAATGTTAAAGGAAAGAAATGATGCATTTTTCCTCTTTCGCCCCCTTCATTTCTGATGATTCCCTTTGATTTCATTGAAGTCCCCTATCATAAACCAAGCTTCAGACCGTGTCAGACTAATACGGGCAAGTCTTCCCATACATTTTTGCGGCACTCAACGACCAGATCACCATAAACAAATTTCATGAAGAATTTTTTTCCCTCTATCTTTGCCTCAATATCGATTAGACGATTATTAGAAAAAAGGAATGTAAATTCTAAAGAGTCTAAATAAAAAAGCGCTAATCCCCTGCTTCGACCTTCCGGTTCCATGGTGAACAGTTTCCTATAACCAAATTCAACTTGAAAGTCTTGCAAAAAACAAAAACTTTTTTTGTCTCTGAAGGAAGAAGAAAAGCAGGAGAAAAACAACAGTGCAGCTTGCGGATGTGTTGTTTTGTCAAATACGCTCCTGCACCTTGACAGTTCCAAGAAATTGTATTCATATTCTCTTACTGGGTGGTTTATGGGACACCAACGAACCTGAAACAGCAGGAAACTTCTTGCTTATAGCAGAAGAGATTTCCTCATCATGAGGGAGAGTAGATAGAACAGCGGGTTTATAAGGCTTACCCGTCCCAAGTTTCTTCCTCGGAAAAGGAAGACCTCGTATTGCTTTCATCTTCCGTGAGGCATTCACACCCATGCCGACGCCTGCACTCTCAGATGCCTTATACAACTTCTTTTTTGTGTTAGCCTCTGTCACTCCCCTTTTGGGTTGTGGTAGTTCCATACTTCTCCTCTGTATGGCCGTGTCTTTCTGGTTAAAGGGATCCTCAGGTTTCATATTTTTCTTTTTTCACGTACTACCCCACTCTCTCTCTTACTTTCCGAGATTGGAGATAGTTACGACATCGCTTCAATTTGCTCAACATCTGAATCCACTTCCTTACATAGGAGGTCATCATTTTCCATCAGGTCCGACATCATCTCATCATTCATATATGCTTTCATGCTCAGCTTCTCCATTTCCTTAAAATGATTGTCCAGGTCTTCGTTTTCCTTTTTCGTAAGTGGGTTGCCATCATCTTCCTCTAGCTCAAGGTCCACATCGCCAAGAGTATTCTCATCCTTCTGTTCCATCGGAAAGTCCTCTTGGGTTCCTCTGTTTTGGTGGGTTTTTTGATGAGCAGAGGTAGGCGTAGACATATCGTAAGGCTCTCTTACTATTAGGTTCCCGTCTTGATTATTTATGCGTCGGTTGATCGCAGCGAATTCCCTTTCCCATTCAGCAATTGCCATTGGGGCTTTTCCCTTTAATCTCCGGATACGTTCTTCCTCCATCTCTTTCTGGTCCACCACCAAGTGTCCTTTTCCATTTGTTTCCACTTCCACAATTCTTTCAAAAATTATTCTCTGCGACTCAGCCGGGGTCAACTTTCATTCTGGGTATAGCCAATTGATTTTTATGGGAGCCTCTGTCGTGATCCCTTTATCTGTGTGGGTTATCTTCCGAGGTCTCCATTCCAGGCAGGCATGCGACTCCTCTGTTCTAAAATTATCATACTTGCCACGTTTCATTGTTCTCTCGGTGTACGAAAATATTCTCTCACGTTTCTATGGATCATAGTCGTGGTTATGGCCCTCTAGGTGGTTCCAGATTGTGGAGCTTCGGTTTTGGCGTTGTTCCTTCAGATCAACTCGGAGGTCTCTGGTTTGGTCATTCCAAGTAGCTCTCTCTGTTTTTGGGTTGTACTTCAACAATTTCCTCAGAGACTCATCAGTATGAATTTCCTCTCCTCGTTGCCTTTCTTTGATAAAAGGCCTTTCAGATGTAACCCCATATGCACCATTTGGTGGAGACTGTGTGCGTTTTAAGCCATCCGGGAGCATTCTCCTTTCCCCTGTATTTGCATAGGTAGTCAGGTTTTCGGTACCGTTAGCTCCTTGTCTCTTTTGTTCCTTCAGCAGGTCCGGGCATGAAGTTTGTTCATGTGAGATGAGCTTACAGTGAAAACAAAATCGTTGCAATCCCTTATATTCAAATGAGATCTTCCCTAAGTCCCCATTGGGGAAGCGATCCTTCGTTCAAATTGCAGTGGTTGGTCTGCGTTTATAGAGATATGTACTCTTGCACCATCCACATCAATTGCGAATATTAGTCCTAGTGCCTTTCCAATAGCTTTAAAGGTTAGGTCGTTCCACAGATGTACTGGAATACCCATATCCTTTATCCAAAAGGGCAGGGTATTCGGGAAAGCCCCACTAGTAAATGGCTCCCATCGCTCAAGGAAGAAAGGCCATCGATTGAAATGGCATAGCCGTTTGTTTAAGACCTTAAGGAGGTCTTCTTCTTCTTCAAAGGTGAATTGGAAGCGGCCATTCCCAAGGTTCATACCACAGACCCGACCTTCAACATCCCATATTCGCGATCTCGGGAGCATGTTTAGGAGAGCATCTATTCTTCCTTTAATATGGAACATTCTGCCAATAAGGGTCAATTTGAATCGTTCTGTCACTGCCGCCAGGTCACATTTTGGGATTCTTATTATATCATCTGCCATCTCTAGACGTCTTCTTGCTTAGGATGGGTTCCCCCTGTCTCTTGCTTGGCACAATTTTGATAAAATATTTTTGGATCATATTTTTGATGTAATTATTTTGGTTCGAAAGTTACTTATTCATGTTTTTGGCAGAAAATTTGCGAAATCGTTTTTGGAGATTTTCGGAATCTTATTTTAAATAAGCCTTATGCAAATTATTTACAAGTTCAAGTGTTTTAATGAAATTTGCGGAATCAGATTTTAAGAAGAAGAATTTATTCATTTTTATTATCATCTTATCTTATCCTACTATAAATAAAGAACAAAAGTTTATATTATATGTGAATGTATTTTAATTATATAAAAAAAAATACAAACCAGAAATGGGACAAAAGGTGACGAAATGAGATAAAAACCTATAAACATAGAAAACAAAGAATAACGAAGAATCATTTTATTTTATTTTACGAGTTTTTAAAGTATTTGATGTTTTGTGTATATTTTATTTTTTGCTATATACAATTTTTTAAGCCTAATAAATCATACTCCCTCCATTTTTTATATAAGATGTTTTAGAGATTTTTTTTTTGTTCAAAATAGTTGATGTTCTCACATATCTATACAAAAATTAATTGTATTTTTATTATTTAAACTGTTTAAATTCTGCATGTTTTTTTTTGATTAAATTATTTTGGAATTGATGATAAAACATGATTATTTTGGAAAATACAAAATTAAATAATTTTTTAATTTGTGTGTAAGAATCTTAAACATCATCTAATAAAAAATAGAGAGAGTATTTTCACAAACTTAAATTTTGTACAAATATATTATTGAACAGATCAATCACTTATTTATTATGAATTATATATTATTATTATTTAATTTTATTAAAATTTTCATATCTGAATATGTGCGGGTCAGCCACCTAATAATAGATTAATTATATAATATTAGTAGATTAACTGGTCATATAATTAAAAATAAAATAATTACAAATAAACTAACTAGTTATACAATTGAAAGTAGATTAAATGAAATTAACGGTATATCAAATATAAATTATAGTAACAGACTAATAACAAACTGAAATCACTTCTCTTATAAATCTGAATGATTATTTTTGCACTAAAATTATTAAAAGGGCTATTTAAATAGGGAAATTTTGAAGACTACAACTTTGGTCAATACAGTTTTCAGAACTACCACCATCGAAAAGTTTTTCAAAACTGCCATTAATTAATCAATGTTTCCCAATTATACCCTTAATGAAATCTAATTAAATAATTAAGTTTGAAAAAAAAAATCGTTTTGACCAGAAAATCTATGAGGAAGAAGATGATACAAAGGATCATCGGAGCTGTTACAGAGCCTGAGATCCAAAGAGACGGAGCTTCTTCTCCAGGAAAAATGGGAGGAGTATATACAGATTTACACCAAGTTCATCGACCTCTCTCGGAGCCAAGTCTATACAGATCTGACTCGGACATTATTCCGGATTCGATTCATGATCTCTGGAGATCGCTTTGCTTGGCTTTGTGCAATCATGCGGAGGCGCGGGCCAGACTCTATGATTTCTCTGAAGTAACCAAGAGGCCAACAGATCCCGGGAAGGTGGTGAAGATCTGATTCCATTTGCTTCCCCAAGATCTCAAGGAAATGGTGGGATTACAAGAGCAGCTGTATCGATAACCTTTGTTAACACTGAGAGGAATTAGAGTCCTCTCAGCCATGAAGATCAATCGAAGATAACCGTTACTAGACAGACAAGTATGTTTCATCTCTCTTTCGCTTTACTTGTGAAATTATACCAGAAAAAGCTTGGGAATTTTGGATTGAATTAAAAAGCTTATTTGCAGTTCTAGTTGAATGTGGATGCATAAATGTTAGTTTGATTAGATTTTGTTATAAGGCGACGTTGACAAAAGGTTTCTCATCTTTTGCTTTGCTTAGAGGGACCCTTCTTCTTTGCAGCTTTTTGTATTAGAAAAAAGTATTTGATCTACTTCTAAGTTTTAGAAAAGCGTTAGATCTACTATTATTAACTGCTCCATTCTTTGGAAGATCAGATCATCTAACTACTCTGTCATAAAATAGTTTTCTTCATTGAGTGTGATCCTAGCTTGATAAGATTTAGTATGTTGACATGGGCATCAATGAGCAGCATGAGAAGCAAACCACTAAGCAAGTATTACTATTAAACTTGTTTTGCTAATTTGCTTAAATTTTCATATATGACGTTCTTTGTCCTTCATATCAGCAGTCCTGTATTTTGAGAAAACTTGGCATCAAGGTATTTTGAGAAAACACAATTCACTCTGTTCATCATTTACGAAACAAAAGACAACAATGAATGACCTTATGTGCTCGTTTCAGACTTTGAAGCTAACGAAGAAGAAGACCAAATTCAATTATTTACATGGTTGCTGGTGCTTGACTTTTGCTATAATACATGATGTGTGTTTAATTTTTTCTTAGATTTCACAACGAGAGAGAGAACTGAAGCATCCAAGTAGCTATAGAAAAGATATACCAAGGAAATGGTTTTTGGAATTCAATGGGATTGTGCCAATTGCACTTTGAAGACTTGTTCTCTTGTTTGGTAGATAACACCAGAGTTTTTGAAGCGGGAATGAAGTATGTAAAGTGACGACTAGTACACTATTATATGTATGATCTCTCTCTGCAGGAAATGAAGCTAATATTCTTGAAGTGGGAATTAACTTTCAAAGATTTTTTATGCTTTTATAAATTTACTCATAAAACCTTATATAAGATTTATAAAGCTTTATGAATTTATTTTTAATCTGACTTATTACATTCAAATAGTTTATAAGAACTCATAAAACCTTTATAAAACTTTATAAAACGTTTTAAAACCTTTATAAAATTATTTAAAACATTTGAAATCTTTTTTAAACTGTCAGTAAAAACAATGAAGAAAGTAAATTATCAAAAAAATATTTGTTTATAAAGAGTATAGCCCTGTTCATCTGCTAGACGCAGGAAGCTGCGTCATGTGTCCAAATTGTGTTCGTTTACTAGTTTATAAAGTTTTTTAAAGATATATACTAATTTATAAAGTTTTATAAAGGTTTTATGAGCTCTTATGGTGTACTAAAAGGATCAAGAACTGTATATATTAGTTTATAAAGTTTTTAAAAGATGTTTATAAATTTTAATAATAAAGATCCCAAATACTTATAGAATTGTATAACTAGTAAACCATACTCAATATTTGTTCTATATATGAATTTAATTATTTATAGAAAATATGTATTACTGATTTATAAAGATTTAGAAACCTCTTTTTAAATCTTTATTTTCAATCTATCCAAAGACTTGTAGACTAAGAAGTCTCATCTAAACACTTAATATAAATGAATGATTGTGTGGTCAATCGGCTTTGAGTTACAAGGTCGTTGGTAGATTTCACTTTAAGGACATAAATTTTCATATATGGATTTATAAAACCTTTTATTCTCACGAAGCAACGTTTAACAATAGTTGAAGAATTAATTGTATATCCATTAAAGAGTGACATAATCACATAACTCTCTAGTCTCAAATAACCAAACACAAACATCAATATACCAACCAAATAATGTATCGCAAGTACCAAGAAGAATAGTGATATGATCATGAAAAGCATCAGGACATGTGCGGACTGTTCGAAGCGTATCTACTCAACCACGATGATTCAATGCATAAAACCATTTGGAAAATATGATCAGCTCAATCACGAAGCTCCTCGAAGAAGAATCAAATCAAATAGAGTTCGGATAAAGAAGTTATGCAATTTACAAATCAGGTGATCTCCAGTGAACCGGATTTAGACATGGGCGCATTTACTGAAGGATTCCGACCAGGCCAGAATGAACTAAGCTACAAACCGACTCATTCTACAATCTTGATCAATCAGAGAAGCCCAGCAAAGTGGATTCAGCCCAAAAACAATCAAAGAAGATCAATTTTCGTCCATAGCAACAACTACATTTAATTATGTCTAGTTCTCTCTCTTACATGTACTTTAGAGTTGGGATTTCATCTTTCTAGATGCTCTGTATGTTTAGCAACTTTTATGGATGAATTTGTTGTATTTCCTCTTTAAATAGAGGTTCCCTTTTATTAATAAAATCAATCTATCTTTTTATCAAAAATTCTTTCATGTTAGATTCATCTTGTTGGTGTGTAATATCCAGCAAAATCCTCAATGCTTTTAGTGTGTAATATCTGGGAGTATTGAGAGGTAAATCAGGAGTCTTCCGCAGCTCTTGTGCGACCATTCGCTCCACATCCTTTGATCTTTGTGACATCACGGTTTCTTTGATGCAAAGCGTATCCCTCTACCAACTCTAGAGTGTCGATTTTTGGGAGAATCTTATCATTTGGTATCAGAGCACACTCTTGAGTTTGGTATTTTATCATTTCTATCATCTTTTTATTTTCTTTCATCTCTTCTTCTTTTTGTTTTATTTTCATCTTCTCATCTTCTAATATTCTTTTTAGTTTTTTTTTCATCTTTCTTTCCTCTATTTTTCTTTTTGCTTATTTATTTTCGTTTATAAAAAAACAAAAAAAAACTCTGCTTCTTCTGCATTTTTAAATTCCATATTAATCATTTGGGCTGTAAAGTTTGTGGTCAAATTGTTCTTTCTTTAAAGAGCAAGATTTGAGGACAAATCTTTTTCAAGAGTGGGAGTATGATATGATCATGGGAAATAGCAAAAAAGACCATGAAGATATTTTATCAAGTTCTGGACTTCTAGTCATGGTGAACACTTAGAAATTCATCTATTATATTACTTATCAAATCCAACCCATTTTAAAGATGTTACAAGCCCAAGAAGAGCCCAAAATAATTGCTTTAATTTACTGGCTAAGAGGAGTGACGAAAATTGATGAGAAGGGTCAAGTGGAAGCCAAGATAAATTTATTTTCGTCCTCAACAACTATAATATTTATTTATGGCTGTTTCTCTCTCTTACATACAAATTAGAAATTAAATTTTGTTTTCCTAGATGTTCTACATGTTAAGTACCTTTTATGAGTAGTCGTGTTGTATTTTCTCTATATATAGAGACCCAAAATCATTAATAAAAAATAAATTATTTTCAGTAAAATCAGAGAAGTTTTTCTTTTTCAAGATGTGATATCTTATTATTTTTGGAACTCCATGTTCATAGTGTGTCATATCTATGTTCATGGCTGGTTTAGACTTATCATAGATCCTTTCACAGATCTTTGTGGCGTCTCTCGATCCATCTTCTATCCATCCCTTGTTGGTGTGTCATATCCAGCAAGCTTATCGATCCCCTTTGGTGCGTAATATCCAGAGAATCGATCCGCCGGTAAATCAGGAGTCTTTCGCTGCTTCTGTGTCACCATTCAATCCACATCTCCTTGTTCTTTGTGGCTTCACAGTCCGTTGAATGAAGGCTTATCATTTTCTACCAACTCTAGAGTGCCGATTTTTAGGAGAATCATATCAAATAGAAAGAAAAAAGATATATGATCTTCAAGGACTGCCTAAAGCTCTCTTCTATTCCATGGATCCATTCTTTAAATTATCTTTGCTTTGGTGTGATTGTTTGCCTGCAAACGAAGCATGTATATATATTAGGATTCCAAAGTGTATCCAATAAACTAGGAGTACAATCACTAAAAGAAGTAACTGTTTAAATCTACAAGACGCTCATGTTAGTGGATTCAATCATCGAACATAGCACATAGAACATTGTCTCATAAGATAAGTTTTGACAAAGTAAGGCACATGTTAAAACTTGGTTAGCCACAGATACTAGCTACGTTATTAAAAACTCGGTGACAAATAACATTGTAAACGTCATGACCTGTAAGTTAATCAAGGTGCCTTTTGATTTCTATTCGAGCAAAAGGGTAAACTGTTCTTCAATAATTAACTTAGAGCTAGACAAAATTCTGATTTCCGGAAGAGCTTGAATCCAATAATCCCATTTTCGTGTAAGATCCTTCATGTATTTTTCCAATCGACAGAAGCTAGGGTTCCACTAACATCTAACTCAGAATTCTGAAATCAAAGTTATTTCAATCATGGAGAAGGACCAAACCTGAAAGATGGGAATCTTTAGCTGCTCGCAGAAAATTGGGAAATTTAGATCCAAAAGCCTTGAGGAAAGAGGCCGTGAATCTTTATTCGAATAAATATAACTGTTTACGGATTTCCCAAATCATCTTTCCTCCTCAATCATCACTATCATCGCTCGTGGATCTTTGTTCACCAGACTCCATGTTTCTCCTTCTTCGACAATTATCTTTTACGCCATGAAGAGGATATCTAATTCTTCATCAGAACTTACGATTGTTGGTTTCCAATTTCTGTATTTTTTGCATCAGCGACTCATTCGTATTTTCTTTTTTAATTGGAGGGTAGTTTGGTCAATGAATTGTCAGGTTAGTACTATATATAAAAATGATCAGTGCTTTGTGGTAGTTGTGAAAAGTGGTATAACCAAAGTTGTATTATTGAGATTATCCCATTTAAATAAGTGACCCAACTATTTTTAGTACATGGTGTTATTGAGATTATCCCATTTAAATAAGTGACCCAACTATTTTTAGTACATGGTGTTTTTGTATTTTGTAAACGAAATTCGAATTTGTACTTTGTAAACGAAATACGAATGCATTCGGGTTATCCACGAATACATGAAATGAGTTGAACCGGTTATGTTGAATGGTTAACTGAAATATACAATGAAAAGTGGAAGACTCTAAGCGAAAAAGAGGTTTTGCTGGTATAAAAGTAGAAATGCCCATTGAGATTTGAGTATGTTCTTCTTCGTTTTCCACTGTACGTTTCGTCTTCTCTGTTCTCGAGCTAAGTTATTGTGCGAAAGCTTCGTCCTGTAACCTTAATCATATAGTGAACTGCCGGAATCCTCTGGCCAAGATGTAGGAGTGCTCATACCCGACCTCTGAACTGGATAATCTCGTTTGTGTCATTTCGCATTTTTCTTTTTCGAAACCAGAGAGAGTGGGTTTCAGAGTTTCGTCAAATCTGTTGACTGAGTCGATATCGGGTTATAACAACCCTAAAGTTAAAACCTTTACCTCTTCCGAAACCCTAAACCAAATTCATGGCGTCTAGGAGACTGTCGAAGTCTGTTTCTGCAGCCATCAAAGCCCACAATGCTTTCTCGAGACCCTCTCTCGACCTCCGTTCTCGCGCTGTCTCTGCCTCTGCTCACTTCAGCTCGTCTTCCTTTCGTTTCCGGTCAAAGTCCTTCACCGGAGTTTCGGGAAACGGCTTCCCTTCGGTCACTAGAGCTGCTACTCATGGCCAGCTGTTACATCTTCCTTTCCATTTTCCTTCTCCACGCTACTTCTCAGCTTATGCAGCTCAGGTTCGTGGCTAGTAACATGTGGGTCTTACTGTTATTGGGTCGATTTTGATCTCTTAAAGTTTTCAACTTTATCTTTCGCAACTCCATTTTCATGGGTTTCTGTTTTGGCAAGGTTTGCCTTTTTGGTGATAATTTGTTGAGTTTCAGGGGAAAGTTGGAACCTTTCGTCTTGATTCAGGAGAAAGTTGGAAAATCTTTCCTTTTTGGTGATGATTCGTCGAATTTCAGGAGAAAGTTGGAACCTTTGCTCTTGGTTCTTACAATCTCATCGCATTATCTTCCGATCTTGTGTATTCGATGTGCTTTGGTAGTGAGAAAATAGTGTGAATTTGTCTTTTTCTTTTATCCAAATGCGTATACCGAGATGGCTTGGGGAGAAAATGGTTTGGCCAGTAGAATATTTCCAAAGAAAATCATAAGTTTCTTCCTTCTGTAGGCTAAATATTGTGGGACTACGGAGATGGTTTTTGAAGGACTTGTCAACTCCCTAGATGCAGCTCGTGCGTCGAAACAACAAACTGTGGAATCCGAACACTTGATGAAAGCTCTACTCGAGCAAAAAGATGGTCTCGCCAGGCAAATATTTGCAAAGGCTGGAATTGACAGTAGCTCTGCTCTTCAAGCTACAGACTACTTCATATCTACACAACCGAAGGTGTTGCAGCTTAACTTGTTTTGTCCATCTGGAACATAGTTCTCATGCTTCCCCATATTTCTCACTAGTGTCTACTTGAATCAACATAATTTCTTGTGATATGTAGGATGCATGTGATACCAGCGGTCAGATACTATGGTCATCTATGTTAAAAAACTGGCTTTTTGAACAACCACAACTACAACCAAAGGTGTTGCAGCTAACTTATTATTTTTGCTTTTGCATCTGAATTCTGAAGCAACTCCTTATTTCTCACTAGGCTAACTTAAATCAACCTAACTTCTTGTGAACGGCAGGTCACAAGTGATTCATCTATTAGGACTATATTAGTTTACGCAGAATTGTATAAGATAGAGTTTGGAGATGACTATGTGTCGGTCGAACACCTTCTGTTGGCCTTTTACTTCGATGAAAGGTTTGGACAAGAATTTTACAAGACCCTGAATCTTAATGAGGAAGCCCTGAAGGAAGCTATTGAAGCTGTCTGTGTCAGTCAACAAGAGACTGATCAAAGTAAGTATTGTGTTGCTTACGCTTTATGTGTACTACACTTTGTGGATGGCGTTTTTGTCCTGTGGGAAATTTAAACATATGCAACTTGAAGGCTGTGATATCAAGGCGTTGACTGTAAAAACAATGATGCGTTTTACTGACATCTCACTGAATCTTCTGATACCCACTGTGTCTTTTAATGTCTATTTTACTGAACCTTTGCCTCATATCAGGTAAAGCTAATCATGTAGTTCCTGAAGGCAAATATGAAGCTCTTGGCAAGTATGGAAATGATTTAACTGAGGTGGCTAGTCAAGGAAAACTCGATCCTGTCATTGGACGGAATGATGAAATTCGGCGTTGCATCCAGATACTATGCAGGAGGACAAAAAGCAATCCTGTTATCGTCGGTGAGCGTAGTTGCACCAATGCATCGCAGTTCGCCTCGTCCAAGCATTGGTTTCAAGAGGTTGCTAGCATCCATGCTTCCATGAGCAGCTCCTACACAAGGGAAATATCATTAGTTTAAGGCAAGAAAACTCAATGTTCATTAGCTTCACCCAAGCAGCAAAAAGTCATTAAAAGCTCCTACACAAGGGAACTCGTTAAAAGATATAATAGACAAGAAACCAACGTACCAGAGCTGGATCTTTCTCTATGTATTTGAGAAAGATCCAGCTCTGGTACGTAGGTTTCAGCAAGTGTTCTGTGGCGATCCTTCTGTTGAAGATACCATCTCGATTCTTCGTGGGTTAAGAGAGCAGTACGAGTTTCACCATGGTGTTAAGATATCTGATGCTTCGCTTGTTTCAGCAGCGGTTCTTGCAGACCGTTACATCACTGAACGCTTTCTGCCTGACAAAGGTAGAAACTTGCACCTTTTTTCTTGGGAAAACCTTTGTCCAAAAGATACTATTGTTTATTAAGATAAAGGTCCTTTGTTTCAGCTATTGATCTTGTTGACGAAGCTGCTGCAAAGCTGAAGATGGAGATGACTTCTAAACCCACAGAAATTGATGAAATAGACAGAGCTGTGATCACACTGGAGATGGAAAGGCTTTCTTTGGAAAAGGATAATGACAAAGCTTCTAAAGAACGGCTACAGAAGATTGAGAATGATTTGACCACGCTCAAAAACAGAGAGAAAGAACTCAGTGAGCAATGGGAGCAAGAGAAGTCTCTCGTCTCCAAAATACGTTCATTTAGAGAAAGGGTAAATTATATCTTCCCCACTGCACTCTTTTAAGGTTTAGTTTATTCTTAAAATCGAAGAACAGATGAACCTGTTTCAGGCTTTCAGCTTAGCATCTTTTAAAATATACAAGACACCGGAGCAGTTTCTTGAGCAGAATCTATTTTCCTCACTCCTGTTTTTTAGGCTTAGATATTGTGGTGGTTGCTTATTCTTTGATATATATCAACCTTAATGACCTCCTAAACATTGTTTAATGTTTTACAGATCGATAGAAGTAAAAACGCTAAACGTATTATGTCCCTCCAATGCCAGTTAGAAGAAGCTGAGAAGAATCTTATGAACTTCCGAGAGTCTGAACAGCCCCTAGTGCGAGAAGAGGTAACTGATTTTGACATAGCAGAGGTAATAAGCAAGTGGACCGGTATTCCACTGTCGAATCTTCAGCAATCAGATAGAGAAAAACTTGTCATGTTGGAACAAGTGCTCCATGAGAGAATAGTTGGTCAAGACATTGCTGTCAAAGCAATAGCAGATGCTATCCGTTGTTCAAAGGCTGGTCTTACAGATCCTAACAGACCAATAGCCAGTTTTATGTTCATGGGTCCAACAGGTGTTGGTAAGACCGAGCTTGCCAAGGCTCTCGCCGGATACCTCTTCAACACTGAAAACGCAATAGTGAGGATAGATATGAGTGAGTACATGGAAAAATCCTCAATCTTACGGCTCGTTGGTGCACCTCCTGGCTGTGTCGGTTACGAAGAAGGTGGACAGTTAACTGAAGCTGTTCGCAGTAGACCTTATTCAGTGGTTCTGTTTGATGAGATCGAGAAAGCACATCCTGATGTCTTCAATATCTTGCTACAGCTTCTTGACGATGGAAGAATAACCGATTCTCAAGGAAGGACAGTGAGTTTCACAAACTGCTTTGTGATCATGACGTCTAACATAGGATCTCACTACATACTTCAGACTCTTCGCAACAATAAGGATAGCAAAGAAGCAGTTTATGAGATGATGAAGAAACAAGTTGTGGAGTTAGCAAGAAAGACTTTCAGGCCAGAGTTCATGAATAGAATTGACGAATACATTGTCTTCCAGCCGCTGGACTCAATAGAGATATCCAAAATCGTGGAGTTTCAGGTAATATACTCCTTTTGTTTTTCGTATTTAGAATCTTTGTTCTTTTGATTAGTTTGTGCAAACACACGTGTCTTTATGAGCTTATAGGCCTGTGCTATTCGGTTTTTGACCTTTAGTTTTGGTTTTGTTACCGTTTTGGTGGTGCAGATGAAGAGAGTGAAGAATCTGTTGGAACAAAAGAAGATAAATCTTGAGTACACACAAGAAGCTGTGGATCTTCTTGCTCAGCTTGGTTTTGACCCTAACAATGGAGCAAGACCGGTGAAGAGAGTGATTCAGGAGATTGTAAAGAAAGAGATCTCCTTAAAGCTTTTGAAGGGAGAGTTGGCAGAGGAAGACACTATTCTTCTCGATGTTGACCAGACAAACAACAAACTTGTCATCAAGAAGCTCGAGAACAATGCTCTCATTGAAGAAATGGTTGCTTGATCGTTTATAAGTCTTTGTTCTATCTTTTGTAGGTTCATCATAACTTAAGTGCTCTGTCTTCTAACACGTATGGATGATTATGTTTTGCCGGCAAAAGCATATGAGATGAACCATCTTTATTGTTAATTTTCTTATTAAACTATTTTCTATCATATTTCTACATTCTATTATATATTCAAGTTCTGAGATCTTTTATCCTATCATCCATCAATTGGTTAAACATAAATGTTTAGTTAAGAGTTAAAAATGTATGTATTATGTGTACTTACTGATTTTCTATAAGCCTTATTCCTATCATTGCTTTGAAGTAATCAAAAATATACAACATGAAACATAATTAAATATATATAACATTTAACATAACTAATATGATTAAATCTAAACATTGTTGTCTCAAAATGAGTGGTTAGACTTGATCTAACTGAATTAGCTAAATATAAAATCACTCTAATGATAGAAGTAAAGTGTTCGTTTAACCACAAAAACTATACAAGTTTCATACCATTGTTTAAGGGACTCGATGAACTCTCTCAACCCTTCACTAATGTCTAATAAATCTAAGTGAAGCCGATAGGAGTAATTAAGAATTCACTTAACTAAAAAAAAAATACTCAAGCATAACTATTGCAGCTAAAGAAGTAGAAAAATATAATTAAAAAAAGCATACTCATCAATCTCGTTGATATGGATTATATAGCCATCAAAGTTGTAGTAGTATTCTTATTATCTTTGTCGCATTCATGTTTTCAAGCTATACAACAACAAAATCGAGAGTTTCCAACTATTCTTGCATTTGGAGATTCGATTCTTGATACTGATAACAACAATCTTCTCGTGACAATGACAAGATCCAATTTTGTGCCATATGGACGCGATTTTCCTCTCCATATCCCCACCGGAAGATTCGGGAACGGAAAAGTTTTATCGGATTTAGTTGGTACATATTTCTCCTTAATTATACAACATGCATACCAAAAGTTTTCTTCACATTCTTTTAACCATATGACTAATCAAATAGTTCTAAAATGATAATGTTATATATGTAAATGTAGCGTCAAGTTTAGGGATAAAAGATCTTTTACCAGCTTTCCGTAGCCCATTTCTTAAGGCAAGTGAACTTCCTACTGGAGTTTGCTTTGCGTCCGGTGGTTCAGGATTAGATAAGCTTACAGCAACTATACTGGTACGTAAATACATGTTAATTATTACTTTTATATAATTGAAACAAATCTTGTTTACATTTGCTTATAATCTTGATTAAAAATGTATTTTATATATTTAGGGGGTTATATGGGTAGAAGATCAAGTGAAAGACTTCGAAAGATAAATAGGAAAATTAAAAGAAGAAGTTGGAGATGCTGCTAAAGTCAAAGAGATTATAGCCAATGCTGTGATTCTAATCTCTGTTGGAAATAATGATATTGCCGTCACATATTATGCAACTATGGCTAGGAGAACGAGTTATAATATCGAAACATACACTGATATGCTCATCGGTTGGAAAACTGTCTTCATTAAGGTATAATGTTTTTTGAAAACTCAGTTTATAATCTTCTCTTTTTTCTAGAATTACTTTTTCTTCTCTTTTTTAAACTAGAGGATAATTTTTTTTAAATACCACTTTAGAAAGATCATTTTTCAAAAATAATATTTTATCAAAATGGTGGTTGTGATCTAGTAGTAGTATAAAGAGATTGATTTCCTTGTGCTTCGGGTTCAAATTCCATTTGGAACGGAGATATATTCTTTAAATCAAAATATAAAAAGGATTAATTCTGAGTATTGTGGAAGATTAGTCCACGAGTAATTCAGAAAAAAAAATACTAGTATTTGCTGTCTATTTTTCAAAAAATACGATATTTATAAAAAAATTATAAGATCGTTAATTCACCTCATAACATGCAGTAGAAAAAAGTACAAAGTTATTTATCAGGCATTTTTTCCAACTCATTTATAAAGCATGTTGTTAAATGGTAATACACATTATAAATTTTTACAAAACAAATAAAAATCCAAAAATGTTGTATTTTTTTATTACTAAAAACAGTAACTTTAGTATAACAATTAATAATTTCATTTGATTTTAAGAAATAAAATATATATCAAACATTGATAAGGAATTAAGGTTGTTTTACAAAACTTTAATTATACATATTATATCATTGTTTAAGATTTAAAGTCGTGTATGATAAATTTATACATTTTATAAGCTAGTTTATAAAGATTGTATTTTTAAAAGTAAATAACAAGTAGTGATACTGAAAAAATGTAACCCCAAATAGTTTTCTTTTTTATTCAAAATTTTCTGAACATCACTATGTTAGTTGTTAATAATTTGTCTTTTTTTATATGATAACAGAATCTTTACAATTTGGGAGTGAGAAAATTTGCGGTTCTTGGAACCATTCCTATAGGGTGTTTACCAGGAGCGAGACAAGTGAACGAAGATTTTACATGTAATCCGACTGTAAACTATGCTGCTAGAATATATAATCAAAAGGTATCGACCATGGTCGATAAATTCAGCCAAAATCTGCCCGATGCGAAACTCGTCCACATCGATTTGTATAATCCACTCATTCATGTCGTCAATAATCCTAAACAATATGGTAAATTCATTTACCTCTTGCTAATTTTTAATATCTATATATAGGTTGTAGATAAATAAATAAACCGAGGGTGTTCATTTTTTAATTTTTAAAAAAATAAATTTCAGGCTTTACAACGGCAAAACCATGTTGTTGCTCGGTGATGAGTCCGATTCCATGCTTAAATTCGTCTAATCACGTGTTCTGGGACTTTGGTCATCCTTCTGAAAAAGCGATCAGAACTGTTCTACCCAGTGTCGTCAATGCCATCCGCAATAAGCTCGCTTAGCCACTTTTTTGAATTTAATTACGTTTAGACACAAGATGCATGAACCTTGCGTGGTTTAGTTAGTACCAATTCTCAGCGATGAGCGACTTGTAGGGGTTTATGGTTCAGTTTGGTTTCAATCGATAATAATTTCATGAGAAATTTATATGTTATGTGCAAATTACGATGATTCTTTCGTACGCATATATGTTGTAGGAAAAGAAAAAGAAAAAAAATCAATACAACAATAACACTCAAGTCTCTCCATAAGTTGACACATCAGATTTTTTAATCTTTGAGAAGCTGACACATCAGCTATTTTACAAACCAATCAAATTAAAACATTAATACAACTCATCTACTTATTTTAATTTTTAAATTTAAACCCATTAAAAACCCAAATATATTTTTTGTTAATAATTTTTTTTATTTTTTAAAAAATCAAAGCCCAAATAATAAACAACATCAAATAAAAAAAATCTTTATTTTATTGTTTGTCAAATACAAGCTCAAATAATAAATAACAGCAAATAAAAAAATTAAATCTTTGTTTTATTTTTTGCCAAACCCAAATCCCAATAATAATTAACAGCAAATAAATAATTTTTTTTAGCTATTTATTTTTTTGACAGAGACGTATATGATTTAAAAAGTGTAGGCTCATCATCAACTATATTTCCATAACAACAACACAAAAAGCCTTATGTTATAGGAAACTCACACATCAACAAAATTTTGAACGAATAAAAATATAACAATAATACATATCATTCACACACTAATAAAATCAGTTTACTATTTTGCAGACCCATTAAAAAGCCTAAAAGTTTACAAAAAATAGAAGTCGAAAGCAAATAAGAAGAAGCTCAAACCACCATGACTTGGAGATTCGCATTTCCAGTGGTTACTCTGAACAAATTTTCATGGGTTTATCTGGAATAGGGAATTCTTTGGTTTCAGTAGGAAAATGTGATTTTCAGTTTTGCTAGGAAAACATAATTTCTTGGTTATGGCGGAAAAAATGAATTTTTGGGGTTGGCGGAAAATGTGAATTTTTGGTTTTGGTGAGAAAACAAAAAAAAATATATTAATTTTGACGCGAAAACAAAATATCTTAGTTTTGACGAGAAAATGCGAGGGAAATGCAACTTTTCAATTAACAAAAAAATATGATTTCTTGGTTTTGATAGGAAATGCAAATTTTTGGCTTTTGATGGATAATGTGATTTTTTGATTTTTTCAGAAAAATGTGATTTTTTACTTTTTGTGGGAAATTGTAATTTGAAGATTTTGGCAAAAAAAAAATGCAATTTCTCAGTTTGATGGGAAACAAAATTTCTCGATTTTGGAAGGAATAAGCAATTTCTCGGTTTTGATGGAAAATGCAAATTTTCAGTTTTTTGACATATAATGTGATTTTTTGGTTTTCGTGATAAAATACGATTTCTTAGTTTTCACAGAAAACACAATTTCTCAGGAGATAATACAATTTTTGGTTTCTGTGGAAAATTGTAGTTTATCAGTTTTGATAGGAAGGCCTGATTTATAGTTTGATGATCTTTTTTTTGCGGGAATTGTCGATTTCTCGGTTTTCATGGGAAAATGAATTTTTTGGTCTTGGTGAAAAAACTTGATTTCTCTGTTTTGATGGGAAAACATAAGTTCTCGCAGGAAAATATGATTTTTTTAGTTTTTGCGGGAAAATGTAATTTTAAAAAATAAAAAATTTTAAAGATATATAATATTTATTCATATTTAAAACATATAAATACATAACTTAAGCTAATAAAAAATAAATATAATACTGATTTATATTATAAAAATAATTTTATTATATTAAAACTATATACAAAATCTAGAAATATATCCCGTAGCGCGTGTATATACCTAGTAAGACTAAAAGAAGGTTAAAGATTGTTTTATCTATTTTTTTCTTTTGTTGATACTTTTCATTGGCAAAAGATTAATCCCACGAAAAATACGAAAACCCTAAATAAATAATCAAAGGCACCGTGAAATACGAGAACCATAATACATACCTAATAATCAAAGCCACCTTCACTTTCTTCTTCGACAGTGATGACGCCGGACCTTCCCGAAGATTTGATAGAGGAGATACTCTGTCGCGTCCGGACTACATGTCTGAACCGGTTGCGACCTACTTGCAAACGATGGGACCATTTATTCAAGGATAGTAGATTCGCAAGAAAGCACTTGGATAAAGCCCCAAAGCAGTTTCTGACTCTTGCGTTGGTGATTTTTAGTGTTTGTTTGATGAGCGTCAATCTCCCTGGAACTCTATCTTTAAAGAAAAAAAGAACTCTTACAATAAATGATTCACATCCTGGTTCAGCTTACATTAAAATAACTAAAGTCTCTTACTGCGATGGCTTATTGCTATGCGTATGCATCGGCATAGGCCACACTGAAATCGTGGTTTGGAACCCTTTTACTGGTCAAAACCAAGTGGATCACACCACGATACGCTTATGAGTTAGGAGATACCTTTTTATCTTGGATCCTACCAAGACAACAAATCCCACAGTAATAGCTACAAAATCTTGAGGATTAGCTATTGTCGTGGCGACCTAGCATTCGAAATCTGTGAGATAACTCTAATTCATTGAGGGTTCTTGACGTCACTCCTAACTGCAAGTTACTTCTTCGTAACCCCGTGTCCTTGAAGGAAAAAAGTTACTGGTTTGGTTATAATGAAGAAGAAAATAAGTTGTTGTTAGTCAGTTTTTGTTATACAAGAGAAAGGTTTGAACGTTTGGATCTTCCGTTTGAGTCTCCTACTGATGAATGGTCAGAAACGGCTCTATGCGCTGTCAGAGAAGAGAAACTTTCCTTGTTATTAAAGAAGACAAGACCATTGAGGAAAGAGATATGGATATCAAATAAGATTGATCAAGATGAGACCAAAGCGGTGTCTTGGACCAAGGTCTTGGCAGTGGATCACCAAGAATGTTGGTGGGATTCGGCACGTCTGTTTAAGTATGCTCCAAGTTTGATTCAAATTTAGTAGCCTCGAAGCAATAGCAAAATAGGTGATTAAATAAGAAGCTACACGTACGAAACCTTGAGTTTCTCTTAATTCGGTCATTTTCCTTCTTTTTTGTTTGTGTTTTTCTTAATTTTGTCTTGGTCATGTCCCAATGATTTATCAGATATTTCAAGTTTTATGATCAAATCATATTTATGTACTCTCGTGCAGAGAGGAGAAACTAATCAATACAACAATAACCCTAGTGTCTTTCCAGAGATGGATACATCAGCATTTTTAAAGTTTCTTAAGCTGACACATCAGTATAAATGAAAAACCAATCAAAATAAAACATTAATACACCTTATATAATATTATTTGACACATAGATAAACTCTTTTTTTTTCAAACCCATGAAAAAGGCCACTAACTAACAAAGACATATTAGTTAATACATTAATTTAGTGGATTAGTTTAAGAGTACCTAAATTTTGTCATTAGTAGATTAATTTAAGAGTACCTAAATATAGTCGTAACACTGATAATTAGTTTTCAAGATTGAAAACGGCTACATATGTATGCATCAATATAAAATCAGTGTAATAGTGTTTGAGTTATATACTTATATTCTTTCATCCATAAACTATATTTTATATATTCATTATATATATACGACAAAATATATAATTAATTCTATCAAATCTATCCGTAGCACAGTCGTGAAGGTCTGAACATCACCACACACTCCTTCTAAAGAAATAGAGATACAACATAGGACGGATTGGAATTTTCAACATAGCCTAAGGTGATCAAGGATATATATTTACAATCGTATCTGGTAAATGAAGAATCCATGTGCTTACAATAGTATCTGGTAAATGAACCGTTTATAAAACTTGATGTTGATTAAATTTTAGTAAAAGAACTTAGATTGAACTTCACCAAGCTGGACATGGTATCCTATTCACCAAATTTATGTTCACATATTAAAGATCAGTTTATATATATATATATATATATATATATATATATATATATATATATGTGTGTGTGTGTGTGTGTGTGAACATAAACTTACGTTTTCTAACCATTTCGAAATCAAACAAAAATTGATGGGTGTTAAAAAATAAAAACCATGAGTTTAGTCGGGTTGGACAAGTTAGTGGATTTAGAACATTTTTCTTACCGGCACCGGTTTCAGAGAATGTCAATTTTGTAACTTTAAAAATAATTTGATTAAATAAAATTTCAAGGAAATGGAGCAAACTTTAGAAAAAGTTAACTCATTGAAAAAGAGGTATATATAATTTAAAATAGAAATAAAATAGTACAATTTTGATGGAAATTTGTTAAAGAAAAATTATTATTTTTGATTAGGAATTCATTAAAAAATTACAATTGTAACCAAAGTTAAAGAGCACCAAAAAAGCAAAATTTGAAAATTGGTAGAAAAATGACGTTAAACGATAATGGCTGAAAATACTAAAAGATAAGAAAAATGAATGGCTAAGTATGACAATTGATTCATTATCATTTTTGAAAGTAAGAGAGACATGATTTTGTCTAAAAAAGAGAGTGATATGATTATTTATAAGAATAAAAATAATAGAAACATAAGTATTATAAGAAGGGTTTAGTAGAATAGATTAGCGAAAATTGAGACAAGAAAGATAAGTCAAAGATAACCAAACTCATTTTGCACTCAATGTCATACAAAGATAGACAAATTACATGGCTATTTAGTTGAGAATGATATCATAGATGATTAAAAAATATTGAGTTATATCAATGATCAAATAAAAATACGGAGACTGAGAAAGAAATATGATATTCATAGAAGAATTAGTAAGGAGAGCAGCTAAATTATATTCATTAAAAATAATATAATTTTGAAGAATATACTGTGAGTAAAAGAAAATAAATGTAAACAAATTCAAATATAAATAGATAACATGTTAGCTTTGAGTGAGGTTTTATGAATAAATGATGTATTAAAATTAAAAAAAACTTAAAAAATAAATAGATACATTTTTTTTAATAATGTAAAAAAAATTAGACGATGTTAGAGAGTTGGAAAGATATGTAAATTAAACAAAAAATATAATTACATTCTTATTTGATTTTGTTTAAAATAATAATTGTTTTCAAAATCTTATATCATTGTATAAAAATAATAATAATAATAATATTATTAAAAATATTAAAAATTTATTAATTATATTTGATTAAATTTTATTTAAACTATTTATTTATGTATCTGTTTTTTATTTATTAGAATATAATATAAATTAATAAAATAATATAAAAATCCTGCAGCATCGCGCGTGTATATACCTAGTAATAACAATATCTAAAGAGAAATAGAGTATTATTGTGAAGATTTGAGAGACATCCATTTGAATGTAACTTAGTTTGTTTGGTTAGTTGGTTGTAAATTTACATATTCATCTAGATAGTTGTAATAATAAAATAATTTAAATGTCCATGTTTTCATATAATCATATTTATAATTACAATTTAACCATTTTAATTTTAATTTAATATAAAATATATTTGTTAATCAAATAATCATATTCTTCTCATATTTCTTGTTAATAAACACCCCAAAATTTTTTAGCACAAGTTTGTCTGATTTAGAGTTAGCAGTAAATCCGGTCTTGGTTATCAAAGTGCCGGAAATCAGGTTCTTCCTCATGTTAGGCACATGCTTCACATTCTGAAGAGTTATGAGGTCATCTTCAGCACCATTTTTCCATGACCAATGATCTTGGAGAATTCTGAGTTTCTCATGAACAACTGCTCAGTCGATTTGCTCTTCTGGTAAGTGCTGAACATTGCTCTATCAGCACAAATGTGGGTTGTTGCACCAGTGTCGTACTACCACTATTTCAGGTTGTCTTCAACCATGTTAACTTCCGAAACCACAGCACGCATGTTCGCTTCTATCAAGTTGGCTTGAGCTCTCCCGTTTTCTTTGGCTTGCTGCAACACACTCACTTTTGTGACCAATCTTGTTACATTTTTGGCATTTTCCTTTAAAATTTTTTTTCAGAATTTTCTATGCTTCTTGAAATTTGTTGAAGAGCTTGGTTTCAAAGAGGATGCCATTGCCACAGCCTTTCCCTTTCATTTGTCCTTGTGGATTGTCACATTCACATTGTGCTCCTAGATCTGCAGACCGTTTACCCTATGGTTTCTGTCTTCCATTTGCAGCGTAGTGATGACATCTTCAAGAGACATTATCTTACTCTTGCGCTTGAGGTAGTTCTTATAATCCACCTAAGTTGGAGGTAACTTCTCGATGAGGCTGGTCACCGTGAAGATCCACAGATTAACATTCCCTCAGTCATTGTATCATGGCAAATCAATTGGAGTGTTTCCACGTGTTCCATGATTGGTTTAGAATTCACCATTTTGAAGTCAAGAAATTTTGTAGTTGAATATTTCTGACAACCAGCACCTTCTGATATGTACTTCTTCTCCAGCGCATTCCACAAGGACTTGGAGGACTTTTCCTTACTGTACACAAGGTACAGCTGGTCACTGAAGCGGCCAAAGATCCAGTCTCTACACAGGAAATCCCCATGGGTCCAGGCTTGAACACTTGCAAGAGTGTCAACATCAGTGTTTCAAACTGGAAGGATCGGTGGATCCTCATTGAGAAACTTATCAAACTTCATGTTCGTTAAGAAGAAGTGCATCTTCAACTGCCATATTTTGAAACCTTTTCCGTCAAAGTGATCCGGCATGAGTCCTTGACTCGCGGAAGCAGGGATTGACGGAATGAATGGGTGGTGGGAACCAGTTGCAACAGTCGTAGGAGGACCATCACCAAACAAGATATGGCATGTCATCTCATCGACATCATCTGCACCCACTGGTCCAAACGCATTCACTTATGGTGGAACACCCAATGTATACATCTGATCAAAATGAAACAAATGATAATCATTATGCCAACGATTTGAACAAGAGTTCAAGCCATGTTTTAAAAATAAACCAATATATCATTTTTAGCAAATCTTATATAGCTCGCTTGTTTACTAAACTCGCTTTTAAAGCGCTCACCAAAATGTTTAAACAGGTTAAAATGTTTTGTAAACTCACTTTTAAAACGTTCACAAAAACTCTATACTGTTTTAGATTTGTTTATTATGAATAAAACATATTGCGGAATCGCTAAAATATACGTTCACAAAACTAAATAGTAACGTTTCGCAGAAACACTATAAAGACACCGAAGATAAGACAATTTTGGAGAGAATAGTCGCTTATGGCGGCAGTTCATCCAGGCTGACTTACTGCAGGTATTGAAGTTTCAACTGGGGGCTTTTAGGAAGAGTAGTAACAGCGCCAGTAACCACTTTCTTTATTCTGGACACGCAAGTTGTACCTCCCAGCCCCCTTAGCTACTAGTACTAAAAAAACTAGGACGTACAGGCCCATTTGACCAACATGATCTATGCCCGTGTCCAGCCTAGATTGGCTTGGCAGCGGTAGCGCGCACGTATGGATCGTTCCATTCTCTCTCATGCATGCTATGGGTAGTTAACCATTTGAACATATGCGTTTGCTCTTCTTTATATATATACTAGAGTATTTTATCCTCTATTTCTGATGTGAGATAAACAACACATTTTACACTTCATTCAACTTGGGCCACAGCCCATTTATCTTCACTCAAATTCAATTTTTGAAAGCCCATTGACTTTAAAAAAAATGGATCCAACAGATGAGACCAAAGCGATGTCATGGATAAGGTCTTGGCATTAGCTCACCAAGAATGTTATGAATGTTATTCAATGACTTCTTTATTGGTAGAGGAGGAGAAGAAACTCCTAGTGTATTGTGATGAATGGAGAGGTAACCCTGGAGCCTAGGTACATATTGTTGGTGATGATGGTAAATATTAAGATAAGTATAGGATAATGGGCCACAAGGCCTTAATCTCTCGAGCGTGTGTGTAATATATGTTCCAAATCGGAAGTTGTGAGGGATCTTGACTAATATATAAGGAACTTGGGTCAATCTGCTCATTGCCAATTGGTTTTGGGTTGGAAGCTCGGGAATTTTAACATGGTATCATAGTCCGATCCACACATTTTCGTTGTCCGGCTCAGAAATGGCATTGGCCCCTCGACCCAAAATTGATGGTCATGGCGAGATTAATGGTTATAATAACCATTATCTCAAGGGGAGGTATTGAGATAAGTAGAGGTTAATGGGCCATAAAGCTTTAATTTTTAGAGCGTGTGTGTAAGATATGTTCCACATTAAAAGTTGGGAGAAATCTTGACTAATATATAAAAGACTTGGACTAATCCATTCATTTCCAATTGGTTTTGGGTTAAAACCTCAGAAACTTAACAGTAAACTCATAAACTCAGCGGATTTTGGAGAAACTGGTTGGGGTTGGCCACGTCTGTTTAATTATGCTTCAAGTTTGATTCAAATTTAGTGACCTGACCTCCAAGCAATAGCAAAATAGGTGACATACACGTACGCCACCTTGAGTTTTTTTTTCCTTAATTTATCATAATTTATCAAGATTTTTCAAGTTTTTTTTATCAAATCATATTTCTGTAGAGGAGAGGCTAATTATAACAGATGTCTAAAGAGAAGAGTTTTATTGGAAAGACTTGATCAGAGATATAATGGGTCTAACTTTAACTGCTGCCTTTAGCCCTTATTCAATTATAACATTGATGACATGTGAAATTATCTTATACATAGATAATGTCATTTTGAGTTATGTATCTGTTCCTCTAACCACTAAAATGGAAGTCCATGATAAGACACTAGAGAGAGAAAAGAGACGCCTGAATATTTCATTGGATGTAAAAATCGTATAATGTTGATAAGAGACACACACACACTCACTCAATATTTACATATCCCTCCAAAAACTTTATACACAAGAAGTTAAATTTCTGTTTCTGTATCAAACCAGGGAGTGACTCAAAAGCTCTTGCATAAGTCTATCTAATACTATTTTCATCAAATCACAAAGCTTAATCTTCACTTCTTCTTTATCAGCTACTTGCCAGATTCCAGCTGTTTTTTTGTAACCTAACCAGAGGAACAAAAGTTTCCTCCTTCTTCTTCTAATCTAAAAGACTAAATCCAAAAGCCACTGTCTTGTCTGTTGATAAACTAATTGGAAAATTCTCTAACTTTTATGGCAAAGAAGCAGAACTAGGAGCAGCACCATGAAGTTTCCGATTCCCAGGACTGCTAAAGGCAACTCAAGGAGATCCAAGAACCTATTGTGTATGTAGTTGTGTTTTCAGTTCTCATTGTACACACCTTTCTTAAGTTTCTCGTTCTCTGCTTCCTTTTGTGCTCTCTTCTTCTCAAACTCAACTTGCTTGCAGTTTTCCTCGTGTGACCGCACAAATATTCTTACAAAGTTGTGCAGAGTGGACACAACTACAGATTCAGAATCAAACAGAAGAGATTTGTTTCCCATAGGTTAAGTCAGGGACAGAAAGGACACAACTCCAAAAAGAGACAAGACATAAGAGGAAAAGAAACTAAATTGGCTGTTGAGTTTGCATCGAAATGTTATTACCTTGCTCAAATGGTACACGAGCTGGATCCTCTCCGAAATATAAAGCCAATGCATCGGCGCTTCCACCCTGAGACATCCATGAGAAAAAAAACATAAGATTAATAGCGTCAAGCTTCTTAATTGTTGAAAGTATTGTGCTGCAGAAAAGCAATAAAGAAGGGAGTCTTACCACAGTTGAATAAAGAGAAGCCAAGGACCTAACTTCTCCTTCAGCAAAACTAAGAAACTCTTTCAAGTTCTGCATAAACAAGTTCAAGGCTAAGCAGATGATAAAACAAGAGCAATCACTAGCTAAAAAACCTTCTCATATATCCAACTTTAGCTTACCATACGAAAGTGTTTTGATACTGGACCATCAGATTCAGATGCAGTCAGTTCTTGTACAACTTTCTCCAACCCTTTGCTAATTGCTTGCATCTCCTCTGCTAGATATTTTAGTTGAATCTGCCATCAAAGTATATATTCAAAAGAGATTATCATTGAAGTCTCCAAGGGATCTAATATTAAAGAAAAGTAAAACTACCTTTGTTGCAGCCTCCAAGCTCACCAGGTCTTTTGGAAAATCAAGTAGCTCTGGAAGTTTTTCGGCGAGCACCTGTGAGAAACGTTTTTGAGAGATGAAAACGTTAGCCTAACATCTAAATATAAAGACTAATGCATGTCAAGTTTGAAGTACACTAATTAAGAACAAAGAGACCTTAACACAAAAAAAGAAAATAGTGGGAAACGATTGAAAAATCTCCTACCTTACAGAGATAGTGCATCAGAGTCATCTTACTATTGCGAGATCTAGTGTCTGTGAGTTTCAGAAGACTATCCAAGCGAAATCCGATAGCTGAGCCTGTCATCAAAAGAGAAGGTATATATAAACACACAATGTCGAGGAGCGAATTCAAATTCTTAGCACCAATGTCTCTCGTTAATAATAGCACCATATGGCAGTGTAAGGGAAATAGATATATACTCACCTCTTGCAGTTCCATGGTTCAAGGCATTGCCCAAGGAAAGTATAGTTTGCATGATTCTTTTTAGTTTAGCTGAGCCTCTGACCTGGAAAGTGTAACATGCACTAGAGTCAGAGAAGAAAATCACCAACATGAAATCTGTGTGGTTCACAAACTATTTGCACAAAAAAATCAACTTGCCTCATTGGCTGCACTGTGAATGATATTCAAACCTCTTCTAAGATCAGTAACCTGAAGGAAATCAACAGAAATAAGATCCCAATATTTTAGAAACTAGAAAGCATTACAAAAAGATACAAACTCAAGTCGATTCTCCTACCTGGGAGTGGAACTGAATCTTAAATGAGAAAACCCTTAGCTTGGTCTCTACTCGAGGAACTTTCAGCAATTCTAAAAAGAACTATCACAAGAAAAGTCAAAAAATTTCTGTCAGTACGGAGTTGAGAGAAGAAAGTGAATTCTGATGTAAGTTATCACTCCCAGCTTAAAAAGTAACAATCAGAAGATTGTTCATATATGAAAGTGGATGCACCGGACCAACCTGCTCACACCGTCCCAAAGTTTCCTTATCTCCAGTGTAGCCCTACGGAAAGCAAGAAAACCACGACAGGAGATGTAGCATCAGTGTATTCACAAAAGAAGCTATTGCCGGATGATAATAACCTGTAAACTTTATTGATACAGAAGCAGAAATGTTTCATATAAGAACCATGAATGAACATACCTTGAGCACTTCTGCTTCTTCTTTTGTTGGACAAAACTTGATTAGATTGTCAACTTGATCACCATCTATCACCGACTCATCCAATGCAAGAACAGAACTCTGTAACCCAAGATCATTCAGGTAAGAAAATAAGATTTTAAACAGCACTTGCATAACAAGATGTGGGAAGATTGAGTTTTGCATTAAGTGGAGTTGTAAGATAGAGACCAACTCAAGAACTTTCCCAGAAAAATCTTTGTGCTTACCATCAAATCAGGCAAAGGTATTTTAACTTTAGAAAGCATGATCTCACAGTTGTATGCTCGTCTGAGCTCAATCTGCAAAACTAATAGACAAAGTTAGATGGCAAAAACAGAGTAACTGTTATCTATATTCTAATGTATCAATGGATCTTTATTCCATGCTCAACTTGGAAAATTGAAAGATTTAAGAAGTTAAAGAACAGCAGAATACTCATTGCAATCAATTACCAGCTGCACTTTCTCAACTTTGGGTCGGGCACGTCGACCTGATTTTCCGCCTTTACTTTCATTGTCAGAGCTAGGATTCGTTGCTGAGAAGAGTTTCTCAAGCTCAGAGATGTCGAACTCTGGAGCACTAGAGTCGAAGAAACACAATTAGAAGGAAGAAAATCACAAACTTATATAAAGGAAAAATCAAAGATATAGTCATACGTAGCTGCTTCATCAGGTTTCTGAGCGTCAGCCCATAAACTTCCTTGCACTGCCCTAGTCAGCTTCAACCAATGATACGGTTTCAAGTTGGTCTTTCTCGCTTGACCCTGACCTCTAAGATTCATCTGTGAAAGCCCACGCCCCTTTAATCCCAATGGTGGTCCAGGGACTGGAGGAATATTTCCATTTCCATTACAATGAGAACGAGACAGTGGTGCAAGAGCTGGTGGAGGAGGCACAGGAGGGGATTTCACCATCGAAGAATTTGTTGGGCATGGAGAACGCAACGGTGGTGGTGGTGGAGGTGGAGCGTTAGTTGAAGCTACCGATTTCTTTGGAGGTAACGGTGGTGGCAGAGGACAAGATGACTGTGAAGAAAGTTGAGACTGTGGTGGAGGTGGAGGAGGAGGAGGTGGAGGTGGCCCTTGTGTTGCTACGGGAGGTGGAGGAGGAGGAGGAGGAGACGGAATTTTAAGTGGCTTCAACAGTCGCAACGGTGGTGGCCTCACTGCTGCTTCTACTGGAGGAGGGCCATTTGAAGGAACAGGCGTGGACGACTGTTGTGTAGAAGCTTTAAGTAGAGATGGTTTCAGTGGATGCAATGTGATTGAAGGTGAGCCTGGTGATGATGAAGTAGCCTCTTCACCTTTACAAGAACTATGATCATGTAATATTGAAGTTATCCCAAGGGAAGAGGGGGAGCTGTGAAATCTGGATACTGAAGCAGGTGATCCTTTGGGGCTATGATTTAAAACTGGTGATGTTACAGAACTTTGGACCAGTCGAGGTGAAATTATCTTCGAGTGGGCTTGTCTTTGGACTGAAACTCGAAGTCCATGCGGTTCATCAACCTTCTTAATGAGTGAATTCGGATCTGCATAAGACTTATGACAGGAAACTATATCTTTATCTTTCCACTCAGGAGAGAATGCTTCAGGGCTTACAGCAACGTTCTCCGATATCATCAGCTTCGTTTTCTCCCTAACTTTCTCAAGTGCCGATTCCAATAAGCTACGTGACTCAGGGCTTCGAGGAGAACTCGAATCCAAGCTTTCTTGAAGGATGTTTGCTGCTGTTATTTGGTTAAAAATAGTCACAGCAACATCAGAATTCGGATCCAACCATTCACCATCACTAAAAATCTCCTGAACCTTAGCAAATGCTTCCATAGGTAGACCATCTTTCTCTTCCATGTGAGGCAAATCAACGCAGACAAGATTGTTACTAGCATCCATCTCTGAAAATATAACCTGAACAAAACACACATAATGTTACTCCTTTCTTCACTTGGAAAAATAGTTACTTAATTAGTTATGTATCACATAAACTGCTTCTTAACAGAAATGCTAGTCTCAAATTGAACTCGCTTGAATAAGATAAATAGCCAACCTCAGCTCTGAAATCCTTGGGAAACCGATCCGTTGTGTTCCACAGTACATCAATCTCACCACGGTTAAGTATCAGAATGTTTGATCTAAGAAACGCAGTATTGAACACAACCCGAAACATCATCTCTTCCCTCTCATGATCACTATCTAAGGTAATGCACTCAAGCACGACATCACCGAGAATATGACAATGGATGTCAATCTTTACCATCTCACAATCTGCCTGCAACAGTAGACACAAAGTTAGGACTATCATGAAGCATAACACTATGATCATGGGAAAAAAAAAAAAAGTTCTTGGTATCACCTGCTTATAATACCGAACAGCTCTACTTCTTTTAGGCATCGAGAAAAGAACTTTCGAAGTCTGGTCTGAAGCCATAAAAGGATCTTGACCATATATCCTAAATATGGGTCTGCAACCACCCTCACCATCAAAATCAGGAATTAGTCTAAGATTGATACAGTCTAATGTAAGGGCTCGATCTAGCGGCGGCCACTGTGAACCAACGTTCCTACTCGAAACATACTGAAGAAACCTCAACTGAGAAGGCAGAGGATTTAGTGGGGACGTTAGCTGCAGTAACTCACGAGGAGCCTGCTTATACATCATCTCTAGCGTTTTCTGCTCTCCACTAAACTGTTTGCGGTATAACAAGAGCGAAGCAAGCATGAAAGCTAGAACTGGCCAGCCTCCTCGCTCACAGTGAGACAATAAGATGTTCTGTCGACTTAGCAGTAACCAGTTCTCACTTGATTTAAGAAAGTGGTGGATTGTTTCCATTGTAAGCAAAGGGCAACCTTCATAGTGACGAGGGTAGTCCATGATGGTCATGTCATAATCAGAGAGCACACTCTCCATCAAGCTTCTACTTTCTCCTTCCCGGAAATTAAACACCATGAAAGATGCACCTGGAAACTGTTCTCGTAGCTGACTCATTATGCGTCCTACATAGACTCTGTACCCTTCCTCTTCCAACATATCCGTTGTTAAGCAGCAATCAAAGACTGGATATACAGACATCAAAGATCAGCAAACTTACAGAGAAATCTTTGTCAGTGGAGGGTCTATTAGGAATTACAGACATCAAATACAAATCTTTGTGAACATACAAAAGAAACATTTTTTCTAACAAATCTCTACTTAACAGAATCCATGAGCAAATCTCAACCAACAAGAATGAGACATCTTAAGCTATCAAATGTTGGATCAGTTCAACGAATGAGCCAGAGATGAACTAGAAACGAAAACAGGAGACTGCACTTTCAACTTAGGCTGCGAGAATTAAATTACAGAACTAAGAAACTCTTAAGAATCAAGATTAAAGAATCCATGAGCTAAATCAACCATCAATAATGAACTACTTAAGCTATCAAATGTTGGATCCGTTCAACGAATGAGCCAGAGAAAAACAATAAACGAATAAAAGGACACTTTCAAATAAAAAAAAAGTTCTGATGTTTAAGACCCAGAGACTCAAACTTTCTAAAAACCCATAACTTTAAACGCAGAGAATTGTGAGCAGGAGAGAGGAATTACAGAACGAAGAGAGCAACTGTGAACATACAAAAGAAATTGTTGTCCTAACAAATCTATATTTTACAGAATCCATGAGCTAAATCTCAACCATCAAAAATGAGACATCTTAAGCTATCAAATGCTAGGTCAGTTCAATGAATGAGCCAGAGAAAGAGCTAGAAACAAAAACAGGACACTGCAGTTTCAACTTTAGGTTGCCCATAACTTGGAAAAAAGTTTTGATTTTTAAGACCCAAAGACTCAAACTTTCTAAAAACCCAACACTTAAAAATGCAGAGAATTTGGGAGCTGAAGAGAGAAATCAAAGAGCAAAGAGCGTTACCGTAAACCCTCTCTGAGATCTCCACTAACCCTTCAGGAGGCTTTCTGTAGAAGAACTTTCTAAACAACGCCATTGAGAGTTTTTCTCTTTATATGCTCACCAAAAAAGCAAACCACAATCCCTAGAAATGATCACCATCGCCACCAAATGCGAACCCACATTGCAGAAGAAGGAGAGAAAAAGGTGAAACAATAATCCCAAATCACCAGAAAACAAAAACGAGGAAAATGTCAGGAAGAAGAAGAAAAAATCTGCTTGCTGGGTCTTTAAGGAACAATACGGTGTGTGTGTGTTTTGTTTCTTGTAGTTTGGTGATTTGTCTTGACATACACACTTTCAATTTTCTTCCGTTTTGGATTGAAAGGAAACTTAGCTTTCAATCAAAACAGATGGTGATAGCTTTTGCACATGCGAAGAAGAAGAATGATGCAGAGAGAGAGAGAGAGAGAGAGAGAGAGAGAGAGAGAGAGAGAGAGAGAGAGAGAGAGAGAGAGAGAGAGAGTTAGGTTATCGTGTAGAAAGAGAAACAAGGGTTTTTTTTTTTCTCTAATTCAAGAGCAAGAAGATGATAGCTATGGCGAAATTGAGACAGAGATTGAGGATGTCTGAATTTGGATAGAAGAGGAAAAAAAAAAGATCGAGGAGGACCCAAAGGATCTTGGTTACTTTCTTAGGACTATGATACATGTCTTCAATATTCTTTTTTCAGTTATTTAAGATCGCTTTCTTTACTTTCCTAAACACGGATATATAATTATTTTTCTTCAGGATTTTGCAAATGACTTCAATAAAAAATGAATTAAAAATTAGATTAATCTTTGAATAAGTACACACTTAGATACCATAGCTTTTTAAAAGTAATTAAAAGAAGAGCATATTATATATGTTGTAATACTAAGTTAGGATCTGAAAAATGATGTGATTTAGAGATGATGAATTTCTCATCTTGGGATTGAATGATTGATCTTACTGATATCAATTCAAAAATATATAGCCAAAGAAGATACATAGAATCAGAAACATACAAAATATGATTATAAATAATTAAGTCGGCCTACGATATTTTATATATTTAATTATGATTAATATAGTATTAAGGATGTTTTATTTGTATATGATTAATTATATATTAATAATAAAATAAAAAATATTTGATAATAAAAAATAACAATAAATTAAATATAAAATATTATGTATTTCAATAGAAAATAAAGATAAAAAATATTAACTACAATTTTAAAATATTTTTTTGGATAACAAATATAAATATAATAACTAAATAAATAGAAAAACATAAAAATATATAACAATTTATTAATTTCTATTTTTGGTCTGTACGCATGTGCAAGTATAATTTTTTATAGAGATAATTAGTTGTAATATTTAAATATTGATTAATTTTTTTATATATTATGTAAATATTATATTTTTATACATATACAATTTTAGTGTTCAACAAGAATCACACAAACGTTTCATATCGTTTTGTGTCTTTTAAAAACTTTTTATTTTTCCTAGCGTTTATAATAACATACAATTACAAATATAAAAGTTATATTAAATAATAATTCAATTCTTATATTATGTTTTGATTATTATATATATATAATACTTTCAGTTTCTCTTTACATAATATAATATTGTCAATATATATATTTTAAGTATATATTTTTTCTTGACCTATTGCTAATTAAACCAAAATGAATTCTATCATATTTAAATATCCTAAGAGCGGTGAGGTGGTTGGTACGCACGAATATAAAGATTTTAAAAAAAAATAAAAATTATCTAACAACTAAAATTAAAATTAGAATGCAATCAAGTAAACAAAATATATACACGACAAGTTTGCATTCGAGTTTGACTTTTGCACAATTGGTATTTATATATACACGCATATTTATAAAAAATCAAAGTATGGCTTTTATGTTTTAAAGGAAAATAACAAATTTTATGTTTTGTAATATATATTTTTATAATGTGTGTTTGATTTTAAAAAGGAAAAATAATAAGTATATTTATGCATGTAGGTATGAGTTAGAAATAAGTGAATTGTAATATTTAGGTGTTGGTAAGTTTTTTCTGGTATTTTTTACAAACATTATGTTTTTACACGATGCAATTATTGGCGTTTAACAACAATCATGTAAACCGTTTCTACCGTTTTGTATATAATCAAAGTTTCTTATTTTTCAGCGTTCCATGATATATTGTTTCTCAATAAAAAAATATTATATTATTAACTGGCAAGCAAATTGGGCTGTAGTTGAAAGTTATGATGATTGATTACAATTTACTCCTCATGTGAATTTACTTTAATTACCCTTAATGAAATTTATTAATTATTTACTTATATAATATTATTTATTTACTTATCTAATATTAATTATTTACTTATTTATATCATTCTATCTATATTATTATTTACGAAGTGATTTTTGGCAAATAAAATTCCCTCATTCACTTTTATTAAATATTTAATTATTAATCATTATATCAATTTTTTGGTTTACGGCTAGACAAACAAAAAGTGACTTACAGCTAAACCCTAAAATAAACAACAACTTTTACAATTAGACCTAATTTTGTTAATGGGATCCCTAATCTTTTGTCTTATATATATTATTTGCTGGATGATGAACGCTACTGAAGAGATCAACGGAAAAGAGTTCTATGATGGATGCTATTGAAGATATGAATAGAAAAGAGTTATTAAAGAGGCTATAAAAAAAATCTATGATGGGTGCTATTAAAGAGACGAACGGGTTTGGTCATGAGAAATCAACAGTAAAGGAAGACATTAAAAAAACTTTGACTTATTTCTCTTTTCCTGTGTTTCAGAAACAGCAAGCTCACACAGGTTCCAAAGTAATGGAATTAATAACTTGCATAACACAGGAAAAGGAGGCTGTGATGATGAGTCTGCATAAGATGGAAAAGATCTGTAGCTCTAGACAGTGTTAAAAGAGTTCAGATACCTAAACAAGATATAAGAAACTACTCTTCAACGGTTATCAAGGACAGATTTTAGCGTATTCTCCAACGATCCAGGTTTTGGGTTTAGAAGGAACTCAACGATATATGTCCGGTGAAGAAGAACGGATTTGATTCCGTGTATGGCTCATCAGAGAGGATCGTCACGAAGTCGACTACCGTCATGCATATGAATAACACAGATGAAAAGGAGATCTGATATCCAAATGTGATATTAATATGTTCGTGTCTGAGCACAAGCAAAAAGCACTAGAATGAGGCTCTCGATCTACGAAAAAAATCATCGTTAACTCTGAATAACAATAATCTGAGTGGGGGCTTTAATCAGGACACAAGGATTTGATGGTGATGGTATTGGTGGCCTGAGAAGATGCGGAACAATATTCCGACTCTAAACTTGTTTCTCCAGTTTAGTCAGTATTCATCGTGGAATCAGTTTGTTGGGTCTTGGTGATTGCTTCGAGAGAAACAGTTTAATTACAATTGCTTAGCTTTTGGAGTAAGTATATTATACTCTAGCAAACAAAGTGATTAATCCTTTCAAGGTTAGCCGTTTTCATTGCTATGTGATAGATGGCTTTTTATAAGTTTCTTAGAACATGAGTTTTAGAGAGCTTCATGGCTCTTAAGTATATTTTATTAATTAAAAAAGTTTAGAATCGATTTTTTTGGCTCTTACGGAAGGATGGTTCTCAGTATATGAGCTTGACACATCATTTTATTTTTATTTTTTATTTTTTATTTTTTCCACATAGGCTCTTTAATACTAATACTCTTAAAGTTCACATGATAAGAGATTTTCTGTTTATACAGCTAAGGGAAAAAAATAATAAGAAGCCCTAAAACTCTCATATAATTTCTGATTGTTTCTGAGAAATATTGATTTTGTCCCTTTATGTTTAGAGACATTTACGTAGAGAGGCACTTTCAAATATTTTGTTGCAAAATAAGGTATTATAGTGAGGTGAGGCACTTCGTTGTACTATTATGCATTGGAATGTCTATTTTGTTCTTACTGAAATATGCGGCGTTTTACTGCGAACTAGAGTTTATCCAATGGGGAAAAGTGAGATATTGGTAGTCCTAATTCATGCGCCGAGTCGGTATAGCTCTAGAATGTTATTTTGACAAAAAATCAGTGAAGGTATTCACCGATCTACTATCATTGAAGGTTTGTATCTCTTTATTGTTGAGGAATTAAGAAGAAAAAACCACGATTAGGGGGCATTTTAGTTGGTGTAATGTTTGATGCACAGCGATGAACACGGTGGATGTGTTTACTCGGCGGGGGAGTGTTAGGTGATGATTAGTGAACAGGTGAAGCATATGAAAGAAGGAATTTGACGTACATTCGGGGAACGATTTGTGGACGTTGTGTAGTTTGTGTTGAACGAGTGTTTCATAAGGGAAAGGCTTTGTGGATGGATAGTCTGCGATGAATGTTTATGTGTAACGTACAGGGGAGGGGTATTTTGTGTACCGTGTTATATTGTACCGTACAGATGAAGTTTATTTTGTGGACGAATGGTGGGTGATATCCGAGAGCCGGGATATGTGGTCTGCTGGCGGACACCAAAATAGGATTACCGCTTCCATACCATGCTTGATTTGTGGGCAGTATTTATGAACTGTTGTTGGTGATAATGGTGTAAGTGTAACGTACATAGGAAGGTTTTTTGTGGACAATATTTGCGAACCGATGGCAGGGTGAATTCCGAAAATAAAATTTTTATCCATTTTTAAATCCATCACACTCATCCATCATCCTCATCCATCACGCTCATCCATCATCCTCATCCACATTCATCATCCATCATCCTCATCCACCACCCTCATATATCACACTCATCCACCACCCTCATCCATCACGTTTATCCATAATTTATACCCACTTAGTTCATCGTTATTTGCAATCCATTTAGTTCATCGTTATTTGCAATCCATATAGTTCACTCAGAATTGCCAGCCATTATTAAATCCATTTAGCTCATCGTTATTTGCAATCCATATAGTTCATCCAAAATTGTCATCCATTATTAAATTATCCACAATTGATATCAACTATATCATCCTTAATTTTTATATATTTTTAAATACATCACGTTCATCCATCACTCTCCTCCATCACGCTCGTCCATCTCGCTCATCCATCTGCATGCATCTAGTTGCATCCATTCATTAGCCAGCATTTAATATCATTTACTTCATTTGCCATCCACTTTCGACCTACCATCATAGTCATTCATTACATTGCACACATGCTTTTCCGTGCATTTACTTGGTGAGCTATGCTGCAGGGTAATAGATGCAGCGACTTGTCTCACATACACAACGACAATGCTAATGCTGTAAGCTCACACATCTTAATAATCCTAATTCTCCAAATTGATCCCTTACACCCCTTAACACCAAACACCCTACAGGGAGGTAACCAAATTGACCACGATTTGTGATATATCATGGTTTTTATGGTTTTTAACCATGATATAAGTCCTTTTTATTGAGTCTTTTTGGTCTTTTTAGAGTCCTAGAAGAGTCTTTGCAGGTTATAGCATGTCTGGAGCATAATTGGAGATTTTGGAACCTTTTTGAGCATTCTGAGTTGAAGCCACAAAGTACCTAGCTCGAAGAAGAAAGTATGCCATATGGTGACGCTCGTCACCAAGCTGGTGACGCTCG